CCGCGCATTGTCTGCGCGGGGAGCGGAGCCCGTGCCTGGCTGGAAGTGAAACGCGCTCCTGCTGCTCCTTTTTCTTTTTTCTTTCTTTCTCTTCCCCTTTTTCTTTTTTTCCTTTTTTTCTTCCCCCCGAGCCTCGGAAAGGCTCCCTCGCCCCTTTCATCTGCCGCCGCGGCCCAATGGGAAGGCGGAGGCTGCCTGCAAGTGGTCTAATCTCAATGAGGTGTCAATCATGTTCCCCGGTGGGTGAAGTAAGGTCTTTTGTAAACGCCTCTGTCTTTGGGAAAGAGAGGAGCGAGGAGGAAGGCTGGAGCGGAGAGGGGGACGCCGGCCCGTGCTGCAGGAGAGAGAGGAACTGAGATTTGATCTCGCTTGTGCTTTAGCAGGGAGAAGCGGAGCACATGGATTTCTAAACACGCTGGGATTTTATATATCTACAAAAATAACAACGAGCGAACCTGAGCCTACAGAAAACAGTCAAATGAATCGTAATTGCAGATCAATGCAGAGAGATGGGGAAACTTCACTCGAAACATGGTTAGTTCCTTTCACTTGCTACTTCCTTAGCCCCTTCCCCTTATTTGGATTTTACTCGGTTTGTTGCTGTGATTTTATACTGGTATCTAATGATCTTCCTTTATTATTTCCCCCACACACTCTCCTCCGGATCTGCCTAGCTGCCGTTTGTAAACCCAGAGAAAGTCCAGAAGGTAGGGTTGGCTCCTTGCTGTTAGTAACTTTGAATGCCCCCCCGGGCCGGGTGGCTGCCCCGGCCCCCTGCCCTCTCCCCTCAACTTTCCGCCGCGGGTTGCGCTCTGCCCGCCCCGGCCCCGGGGGCTCAGCGGGCGGCTCAGCGGCGGCATTGTCTCTTCTCTTCTAGGTGATAGTTTTGCGGTGAACGCCTCTCTGGCTCGCAAAGGGCTGGAGGACTGGATGGTGAAGCAGAAATACTCCGGGGGCAGCAGCAGCGGAGGTAGCAGCTCGGGACTCCAGCAAGGCTGCCAACACCGGGCTGTTTGCAGGCTCTCCAGCGCCAGGGTATGTCAGCTTCCTCGCTGCCCTCAGCCCCCTCCCCTGCTGTTGGAAACAGAAAACCAAAAGCTCTTTCTACATCCCTCTCTCCCTCCCAAGGGCCAGTTGTGCAAAGGGAGGGTTTTCTTTGCCCTAATACTGCTCCAAGGGCCTTCCCCGTGGGTGGTTTCGTTCAGTCCTTTGATTAAGTTGGGAGCTGCAGTGCAAAGTTCGTGCTGGTACAAAAGCCAGAGGAGTAAGGGGACCTGTCTGCTAGTGTCTGGGCAGCATGATCAGAGCAAAACCCTTCACAGACAGGAACAAACAGAGAATCTCTGGAAAAAGCTCAGAGCCCTGCCAATGTGTGCAAGGTTGTGAACCCTGATTGGTGCACAAGTTTGTCTGTGACATTTTGGCAGAGGAATTCAGGAAAGGAGAAGTCCCCGAAGAGTGTATTGTTATTTGTTTGCTCTTTGCTAATAATGCATGGCTGGCTTTCTCCGTAAGAGTTACAGCACATGTCACTTATCCTGGTTGTTACCACACTGGTCGCTTTTCACCTTTTTTCTTCCAGTTGTCCCGTGTAAAGCTGGGCTGGAGGTTTGAGATTTAAGTTGCCTTTTTTTTTTCTTTTGCCTTTTTTTTTTTTTCTGATGTTGTCTCTTTAAACAAAAAGGCATGATGAGAGTTAAACAAACTTAACAGTTCTTAGATATGGTCCTCATAGTGTTTCAGGGTTTGATCCAGAGCTTATTGATGTTTACTGAAAGACTCCCATTGACTTCCCTGAGCTTTGGATCAAGCCCTGAAAGTTGCATCAGTGGAAAAGTAACCTGAGAGATGGAGAGATTGGAATCTGTGCTTCCCAGCAAGGAATGTGGCTCAGAAAGCACAAGTAGAGCAGGGCCACCAAACCTGCAAACTCTTTCCTTTTTTAGCTACCTTTTGTATTGTCAGAAGCCTGGACTTCGTGTGTCTCCAGAAAAATTAACTCACAAGTGGAGAAAGGTTTAGATGGGGTGTTAAAGTGTGTAGAAAATGTGTAGAATGGGGAAAGTTAATTATGACTTTTTAGATTACACCAGCATTGGATTTAGAGGAGAAATTTTTTTGGGGGATCACTAGAAGGAAGGTGAAGGTGGTAAGATACTAAGTGTTTGCAATTCATAAGCATAATCAGTTCGTGTTCAGCTTGCAGGTATGATTGGTTGAAGTGACTTTTTATTGTGTTTTAGTGGGAAACAACGTGTCCAAAAAAAGAAGTTCTCATTAATAATTGTACATACACACATCATGCAGATGCAAAGAGTAAAACCATGAGCTTTTAAATACTTCAGATTTTTCCTATTTTTGTGAGTCCAGCTTTTTAGATATATTCTACCTTTCACATGTATATTTTCCAGGAAAGAAGCTCAACTCACCACAGTAAATATGGGTTTAAAATAAAAGAGTTAGAAGTCAAAACTTCTGGCTTTAGCTTTGTGAAATGTATGTTCTCCCACAAAATCTGCTTTCTGAAAAGAAAAAAAAAAATCATTGTCAAAGATAGTTGCTATCCACAAAACTCTTCATTTTTCAGTTCCACAAGGTCTGCTCAGCTGGAATGACAGTAGAACAGTATTTCTCTTACTCGAGGTGTCTTCCTCATGATAGCTCAGTAATTAGCAAGCCATTAACTGAAAGTTAGTATGTAGTTTTACTACATTATAAAACTGTAAATAGGTTTAAGTATGTTTGAAAGCACTGTTCCCATGAGGCTTTTTACTGTCATCCTGATAGAGCTGTTACTGAATGTTTGAAGATATTTGCAATTTATTGCCTAATTTTTATTAGTATCTGTATGCATAAATAGCCTGCTCATTGATTTAGTTCAATTGTCATCCTGTCACAGGCACACTGTGACAGCTACATTAAAGTTCCTTAAAAATATGAACTTTTGGTAATATGGAAGGATGCATTTCTAATCCTACATTGGAACCAGATGTGCCATATGTACAGTCTTTTTGACAAGGATTATGGAGTCACAGCTATTGATTCTGTAACTGAGACTGAGTGACTGTTTCTCTTCTGAGATCTCTTTGAGCTCTTGTATAATTATACTGAGATACAAAGCGATTTGTAGCCTCACCAATTGGCAGTTGAGTCGCCTCGAGTTGTAGAAATACTAGTCGCTTCAGTGAATGGTTAGTCACATGGGGTTGTGGGGGACAGTTGTGTATTCCCCAATAATGTAGACTTATATCAACCAAGGCTTTCTTCTGCTCCTTTACTACATCAAAATTCCTACTCAAACATTCAGTTAGTTTAAAAGCCTCTGTGGAATGGTGCAGTTTTACTGTGTCACAGCTGAAACTTTGGCTTCTCATGAGAACCTTTTTTTTTGCTGAAATAGGTTGTAATGGCATCATTTGTGACTTACAACAGATGGAGTTAGATCAAACATTGATGAAAATATTAGCATTCAGAGAAATATAATCCAGTTGAGTTTAAAGAAAATTGATGTTCCTAGAAGTAATTTCCCTCCTAGGAATCCTTAACCAGAGTTTTGTTGATGTTGGTTTCCACCAAAGAGCCCTCTTTAGTGAAATTCAGTGTACTTCCAAAGACCTGTTGATGGGAGGGGAGAGCTCTCTGTTGCTTTGAAGTCTGCAACTTCATAGATCTTGGTTATTTTGATTAGAACTTGAATGCAATAGTGAAATTTGAGTTACATTGCTCTCTGTAAGCCAAAAATTATTTCTTGGTTGTAGTTGGAAGGCTCTTTTCCTCAAGAACAGAGACACTGAATTGTTTTGCTAAAGTTAGTCATCCATGGGAGATGACACTGAAGAGTGACTAATACAGGAAAGCAATAGAATTTCATTTGCACTTCTCTCTACAAAGAGTTAATTTACAACAGTTGCAGAGGGGAGATCTTTTAAGTCCATTCAATGCAATAAGGGTTCAAGAATACATCACTCGCTCCCTGAAATGAAGTTTTGAGTTTCTTGGTTAGAGCAGACTTCCCTCAGCTGTTGTGTTGCCCATGTTGTGACCCACCTATCTCTATCTCCACCCCTAGTTCTCTGGAGAAACAGTAGTTAGTATCCAGCTACTCCTAAATGCATCAGTCACATGAGAAGGATCTCCTAATAAATTGTTGGATGAAGGCATGAGCCAGGGGAAGGGGAGTGTGTCTGAAATGTGCTTCTTCTGGTGTGTATACAACTTTCTGCTCTGGGCTAAGAGCTCTGATCTCATTAAACCATTGCCACCAGCCCAGCAGGGGCTGCTCTGCTCTGAATGTTTTAATTACTGTGGGGCTCGGGCCTGGGCTCCAGCCTTCCACATCATGTAGAATTGAAAAAAATAGTAATTTGGTTGTATCCATGAAAAGCTTGAGGTCCAGAGTCATCTTATAGTTTCAAAGCTAATTGAAACCACTGGGGCTGTAAATCTGTTAAAGCATGTGAATACGCTTCTTTTGCTACTTTATGAATGAGTTAACTTGTGCCCAGAAAGGTTTTCTGACACTGTGGATTATCCTGTATAATTCCTAAGCTTAAAATTATTCAGTGTGTTTACTTTTACAAACTATATTTGGAGATCAACATTGTTTGCAAATATTCATGTATTTATTTAACTGTGAAGTAGTTCTATGCTAGAGGGGAAAATATTAAATATGACATTTGCTTAGTTCAATTTACTTTTATCTTCAAAGCCATAAGAAATTTTACTAGTTTCTTGCCCACGTTATTGAGATCTGTGCTTGGGATTGGAAAAAATCTCATCTTCTCAATTAAATTTCAAACCAGCTCACAGTGAGCCAAGTTGTAAGTAATCATTTTAGGTAAAATAGAAAAGACTTTAGCTTACCACTTCTACTGGCCTCTTTGGTGCTTGGGATCCTCATGTTCAACCCTAATTGATATTAATTAGAGTTGAGTATCTGGTCTGGGAAGAATATAGCATGAAATGCTGAGACACATCACTGCTTCAGAGGTGGGGCTTGTTCTCCATTTGTTTTGTGCCTGTAACTGCAAGTGACATTAATGGGCATTCCTTGCATGGCTGAGAGGAGACTACACCAGTGTCAACTTCACTGTTCCTCTAGCATCATCTTTCTGAAATTAAAAAACAAAACCAAAACAAGTACTCTTCCCAGTCCCCCACTGTTAAATTGCGTGTGTGTGCATATGAAAATACATAGCCTTGTAGTAGTAGGTGATTCATGCAAAATGAGAATAATGAACATAAAAGAGACTCTTCTTAGAGGTCTGTATATACTATGGGTAAAAGGCTGTTGAAGTGGAAGATTTAGTTGTTACACTACTTTGGGGTCATCTCATGGGTACAATGACATTTGAGAGACTGCCTTCTTATTGATAAGGTGACAAGAGCAGTTAACATTTCCTTAGGTGCTATCATGTGTGTGACTGTTGGAAGCAATATTTCATACTGAGATATTTTCAAGTACATTAATGTCAGTATTGTGTATTGATTCTGAGGATTAAAAGAAACAACAGGCTCGGCAGTGCTAGATGTTGGAATGACTGAAAAATATTCTGATATACAAAATACTGTGTATGACATGTAAAATAAAATTGCCAAACTGTATTGAAAGAGAGAGAAGCAGATTCTTATTGAATGCTGAAATTTGGTGCCAACAAACCAATGTAATTTAATTAATGGTGCACATAGTATATCTTGACAGCTTTGGTTCGGAAAAATTATAATATGAATATTAACGATCAAAGAGTCTCTGAAAGTATTAGTGCCATGGTGATGAGATTAGTGAATTGGCCAATACTGTAGCAGAAAGCTAGATTCCAAGGGAATTATCCTTGAATGATACCAGTTGGTTCAATTAAAAGCCACAATTCAGTTGCCATATGGAAAGTGTTAGGCATCCTTACATGGTTTCAAAGCTATGTGCCGGAGGTTAAACTGACATATGAAGAAAAGCATAAATTAAATATTTTGTGTTATGAAATTAGAAGTTGACTTTGCTTCAGCCATATGGAGGAGGTGGATGGAAGACAGTCTGT